TCTGTCAAATCCAAGTGCCTTAATCCTGTTTTCTACTTCACCCTAAAGAGGGAAGGAATAAGACAACCTCCATTGGTACAGAGAAACACACGGAAGCTGAAAAGGATACACATCAAAATAAAGCAGAAGGAAGAATTGCTGAAGATCCTCATATGACAGAGGAGATACACCTTCACAAGTACTATTAGGTTACACTCTTAGAATTATAAACTACAGGAAAAAAAGTAACCTGCATGCTCTGTAATGGCTAGAACTTGACAAACCATAGATCCTCAGCTAAGAAACATCTTTCTCGTGAAAATATATTGCCACCTACATTATGCTGCAGGTCATAGTGCAGCATTTTCCTTTGCACATATTTCTTGAACAACCTGGAATAACAGTTGTAATAAAGAACAGTATCTCCTGGAGCCATTGCTCTAGACGGGACTTGGTTCCTCTGCTGAAGCAATATTTATTAGGGCCCGTTGGAGCTTGTCTCTGAATGTATCTAGAAGGCATTAAATTGCCTATTATGGAATTAGAGTGGTAGTCTACACTTGGGAAAACTCAAATTCAGCTCCCAGCTCTGCCAAACTAACTCATAGGGAGTTTTCCTCAGGCTTAAATTAAGAGTAAAGAATCATGACCTCCTGGGAGGATACATTAAATAAGAAGCCTCTTTCTCTGTCTAATCCCGAATGGCAGTAGAATGAAAGATCTGGCACTCTGTATATAAAAATTAAACAGAACCTGGGAACCCAACCGGGAGAGAACTCTGAAACCAGATGGTTCTCTCACCCACTGCTTATCTCATTTTGCAGCCCATCAGACTTACCTTGGTCTTCAGATAGAGGAATCTGCTGGAGCTATCTGCACCTTTGCTTGACTCTAGGATAAAGTGGTGGCAGCCACCAGCTTTGGCTAGCTTTGCTGCATGTTCAACATAATCACGGTCAACACGCACAAATCCATCCTGCATTTAGAGAAAGTAGTATTTACTCATTTGAAAAAGTCTCCCTTTCCAATGACCTGGATTGAGTTAGAGCCTATCTGATACATCAAGAGATGATATATCAAGAGTTATCTAACCTGAGACTTCAGGGCTGTTTCATCTCCAAAACTATGTTTATGACAATCAGGCACCTCAAAAATTGCTATTAATTTTAATGTGGAAAGAAAAAATTAAATACATACCGATCAGAGAATAGCATAATGTATAATTATGCTTAATTAAATGTAAATGTAAATGCAAATGAACTGAGATCAAATTTATTTTTTGATATGTTGGATCTTTCCCCACCCTTCTCATGCGCTCCAATTAAGTGCAACCATTGGCCCAGAAGATGTTGTCCCACGAGAGGTGCAAGATCACTCCAAAAAAATTAAACTTTTGTAAACAGCCAGTACAATGCACAATTTGGGTGACTTGGGTAAAATCCTGTGTTAACTATGAAATTTGGAAAAGGTGGCGTGCAAATTGGGTTATCATAGGCAAAAGATAAGCTAAGTTGATATGCACTTCTAGCACTTTGGAAAAACATAGTAAACTTCTAAAGTCTTCACACCTGTTCCTCACCAGGCCAACTCAATCCCTTAAAATGCCAAGCAGTCACTTCAATCTTCTGTCTCTCAGATCCCAAGGAACTCACATTTTCCAGTTTGGTTCCTCTAAGTGTATGGAAAGTGCAATTATCATCAGTACCCAGAGCCACTAGAACTGTAGTCCAATAATAACAGGAGGATGCCAAGTTGGGAAAGGCTGAAACAATCCATGAAATCCCACCTGCCAGCAAATTCCACTCTAAGGTATATTTTATACCTCTTAACTTCCTTTCAATCTTCCACCTTTCTCAATTCTGCCCAGACCCAGGTATTGACTTATTTTTCTCCTCACCGCTCCAGCTTTGGCTCTGCTTGTCCCCAAGCAG